CCCGTTCTAGGAGACTATTTTTGCTTTTTTTGTGTTTTTGCATAATTTTTTTCGACAGAATCTTCCTTTTTTTTTGCTTTGGTTTTGCCTCTTTTTTCGGTTTGCAAATAATAAGCTCTATTTATAGTGCTTTTTGGGATTCAAATCCCAGATATTCTGGGATTCGAATCTCATTTTTTTAACTGAAAAATCACGCCTGCCGTTCGTGATTGACAGCTTGTCAATCGGTCGCTGGCAGCTAGCGATGGTGATTTTAGATTTTAGGGATTGTGCATTTAATGCACTAGATCTCAACCGGATAAGGATGAAGAAGAAGGGAAAAGGAAGAAGGAAAAAAAGAAGACAAATGCAAAAAACGAAAAAAGAAAAAAAAGAAAAAATTAAATAATAATAATAATAATAATAATAATAATAATAATAAAAATAAAAAAATGGTGTTTACAACACACAATTATCAAAGAATATGCATGGGCAAAAGAAATATTATATTTTTTGCCTGGTGATGATGATGCATACAAAAAAATTTCATACGTACTCGAGTTGAACTTTTCTCCTTAATGAGGCCATGACTGGGGTTGATTGCATCGACAGATCTAAATGGGTGAAAAATTAAAATAATTTCTCTTGATATTTTTAAAATATTTTAAAATATTTTTTATATTGATAAAATTCATAAATTTATAGACAATTTTTTACATTATAAATAAATACTTTCAAAAAAAATTTAAAACTGGTCACTAAATAGTTAGAATATAATTTAATTTTTTTTTCTTTTGCAGATCATATTGGAATGGTAATAGTGTGGATATCCGTTATTTCTGAAATATTTATTTAAATATCTGTTTAAATTTAATATCACTATCTAAATTTGAATTTATTTAAATAAATTATATTTGTTTAAATATTTGAATTCATTAAAATATTCGTTTATTTAAAATTTTTGTTAAAATATAAAATAAACCAGAATTTCATTTAAAATTTAAGTTCACTTTTAATTATTAATAAATAAAAATTATTTTTTAAAGTTTGAAATCTTCTACAAATATAAAATTATATATATATAATGAATTGAAATATACATTATTAATTATTAAAATTTAAACGAATTTAAATATTGAATATTTAAGAGATATTATTAATATTCATTCTGAATCCATTACAAATAATATATTTTTTATCTGAATCTATTAATTATTTATTATCAATATCTAAATTTAACATAAATAAATAAATAATTATACATATTCATTTATTTACTATCCAATTGTCATCTTTAAGGAGTTGGTTGTGGTGGTTAGAAGAGGGGAAATAATTGCAGAAAAAGGCAAGTACAAATACTGTTTCTTTTCTCTCAGTTGCAACTTTGGGGCCTCCGGCATCTTACATAGTTACACCTAATCAAAGGTATCATGGGCTTATAATCAATTAAATTTTCAGTTTAATAAATGGATTTAGTACAAATAATGTTAGTCCAACTGAACCTAACCTAATCTTTACGTTTCAAAATTGAAGGGAACACATAATTGAAGAGAGACAAGTGGGAAAATGATTGCACATTCAAGCATCCAAATTTTGATGACTTTTATCTTATTTTTGCTGACTTTGGAAGTCTCCTTCAGTACCTCTTTTAACTCATCCTTCACGCAAGAAGGAAGTTTCAGTGAAATTGAAATGTATGCCAAAACCCATCGTCAAAAACTCATTATAATAATTATTTTTTAAAATTATATTCATATAATTAATTATTGCATTACTAAATAATTAACTAATAAATTATAACTTAATTAATCAATCAAACCCAGGGACTTGAACATAAAACCTTAAAGTTTTAGGCAAAAGCTTAATTAGGGGGCCAGCAGGAGTCATGGCTCTTAAAATTTTTTTTACACCATTGTAGCATAATACTTCGTCTCACTTAAAATAATATTCAATTTTTTTTTAGTAAAATTATTATTTGACCCCTCCTTGCTCATATTTCTGGCTTTGTTTCTGATTTTAGAGTCTCTTCCTTGCCCCTAAATCAAGTCCTCATTATCTATGTTTTCATCTTATTGGCCACATAGAAGATTGGCTTTTTCTTTTGTTAAGGCTTAAAAATGTTTGTACCAATAAATTTGGGTCCTAAACCAGATTTTTTAGAGACTAAAGGATGGGATTTGGGGGTTTTTTTGTTTGTTATAAATTTGATTGTGTCGGTGGACTACAGGTTTTAATTTTTTTTTTTTACACTTTAAGCAAAAATATAATATATATGAATTAATATTTAATAATTTTTCATATATACGTGGGCAATGCCCTACCCCATATAAATTTGCATGCTTCTTTTTGGTTAACATTAATACAGACTGTTTTCCTCTACTCTATTATTATTATCTAACAACCCATGCAATTGTTTGTTTCACACTAAAGATACTTACACATAGTAATTAAATATTTAATTTATATTTGATGAATTTTGTGTATAAATTTTACACATTATCGATAAATTGAATAATGTCACTTCATTAATAATCAAAAATAAATTTTTATAAAACCTAAATAAATACATAAAAATTTATTTTTTAAAAATAATTTTTATTAATGAGATGGTATCATCTAATTAATTGATAAGATATCACATCCATATACTGATAGTAAATTAAATATAAATTTTTAAATATTTATGGCTGATTATGTTTTTGAAAAATAAATGTTATTTCATTTTGAATTTCAAAAGCATTTATTATTCATTCAATCTGAAATGTAACGGAAATGGAACTTGAATATTCAAAGTTTTCCCAAGAAATCAATGTAATAGAGAGAATTTATCCAAAATTTGCCCAATAAAACAACAATTTCCCAAATTGAACCTTCTTTTCTTCCCACGTATTCCCTTTAATGCTTAAGCAGCAGCTTATTAATTAATTATTTCATACTTTTGTGAACCTAATTCACATTTACAAATTAATCTATGCCACAAACTACAAACGATTGCATAATTTTATTGAACATGGTTTCATTGGTTAGAGATTAGTTGACATTAGTATTACATATTTACAATTAATATAAGAAATCAATTAATAAAATAAAACAAATTAAAAAATTATCAATATAAACTCGATCCAACTCTCATATAGTGAAATTTGAACTTGGGTTTTTTTAAAAAATCTAAATTATTGGTAAAAGAAATTGAATTTGAGCCTTTTGTAAAATATAAAGAAGAGAGGTGTGGACTAATTAGCTTAGCTTTATAGTTTAAAATCTTCCTTTTTGAAAAAAAAAAAATAATAAATGACTAGTTCCTTTTTTCAAACATACGGAGGTCCATATGAGTTTACATATTTGCTAATAGGTCACAAGGAAATTGGAAGCTTACCTTCTTAGATATAAAAATTCTGGGATTTTCCCCTCTTTAACTGTCTACTCGTAATTAAACATTTTTTTCTTTATAAATTATTAGTAAAAAATAATTAGTTTTGGTTGGTACCAAATTTAATCTCGTCATTTTTTTACAAAGTGGATAGTAGTTTGTGAATAGAAAAAAAATTGTACATATTAAAATTAAAAAAAAATTATTAAATATTTTATCTTAAAAATAATTATATAAATCAATTAAATTAATTATAAAATCCCTCTTATCATTCATTGAACTTAACTAATCATGTTAATGATTACGTTCTAGAGTGGAGTATGAAATATGACAGACAAAAATGTGTCATAAATCCCTATATTTTTTAATTTTTAAAAATTTAATCATTTTAATATTATTTAAAAAAATTTAGTACTTATAATATTAGTTTTTAAAAAATTTAATTCAATCATTAATAATAAATAAAGATTAAATTTTTAAAAATAATATTATAAAAACTAAAATTTTTAAATAATATTATAAAATTTAAATTTCTAAAAAAAAGAAAAAAAAACTTATGACAAATTTTAATAAGCATAGCCAGTAGAGATGATTCCCATTACCTAACTAGTACAATGTTGTTGCAATAAAAAAAGTTGTAGCATGTAATATGGCTAGTACAGTGGAGCCCAATCTAGAGAAATGAGAAGTTTGGCTAACACTTTTTAGGTCAGCCGATTGCCTACCAATTCCATGGGCATGAATAACGATGTATCGACGAAACAAATTCAAGTAATAAAGTGGGACCTATGATTGGTGATGAAATCGAAGTTGATCTCATCCACTTCGACTTCCACTGACAACTGAACTCTAACTCTGAAAATTATGATCTCATATCAGATCAGATCAGATGATTAGAATCTGCTCTTTTGTTTCACTTTCACTTCGAGTTTATACCATGAGTGGGTAACATTGCACCAGTGGGTAAAACAAACACCATTTTAATTTAAGATATATATTTTAAAAAACTAATTTTCCTATGAAATAAAAAACAAAAATGGTTATTGATGATGGGGATGAGCTTGGACAGGAGTACGAGGGGAAGAAACAAGCGCCAGTGGCTCCCTATGAGCAAGCCACATGTCCAACTAAAGTCGAACCTAGGAGCGTCGTCAGTCGTCACAAACTGTCAGTGGGCCACTGTTTTTTATTTCTTTTTTAATTCAGAATGCAGTGAACACGCTAGATGGTGGCCTGCCTCTGCTTTGCTTGGCTTAGACCAATTAATAAAACTTAAATGTCTCCCCAATTTCAATTTTAAACCAGCTCATTCTAGAATCTGGATCAATTAATCTTCAAATTAGCTCAAACCCAGAACCAAACAAGACTTTATTGTTCCAACTTTGACATATTTATATTTTGTTTCAAGGAGAAAATCAAAATGAAATAACAATTGAAAATCAGGTCACATAATGAGTAAAATTTTCTAAAATTTGTTATTATTGAACAATATCAAGATACAGCAAGTACAGAAACTAGTAGGTCCTAAAATTTTCTCTTTGGACAAAAGAAAACATTTTCTTGTCCAGAAAACAAAAGAAAAATGTACTTACTATATCCAAATTCTTGCATAAGATATATAGGACCTTTCGATTCCAAATTAATGTCCCATTCAGAAAGCAAGAAGGACCAAGAATCCAGAAACCAAAGCCAATAACCCCACTTTGAGATTCCGGCTTGCACCATAAAAATTTTCAACAGGGTACAGTTCCCCTGGCGGACCAGTTACGTAGATAAAGGATGGCGGAATAGGTGGTGGTGGACAGTATTGAGTTGGCGGGTTTTTTGGTGTAGGTGGTGGCAGTGCCGGTGGTGAAGGTGGTGGAGGGCATGGTGGCGGTGGCGACGGTGGTGGAGGACTTTGTACACATGATGGGGTACACTTGACGCCTTGGTCACCTGGTACACTGTTCTCATCAAGCTTCCTTGATTCCAAGCCGTTGATGGGACATGCAATAGTGGCGATTACAAAGCATATGGTTAGTGTTATAATTGGAAGATTAAAACGGCTAGTTTTTATGGACATGGTGGTGAATCCGATTGCCGCTGGAACTCCTTTCTTCAGCTCAGATGAGGAATTATATCGATCTTTTAGACAGAAAAGAAGAGAAGGAATTTTATGAAAGATTAAGAGAAAAGGAGTTTGTAAGAGCTCCCGTTATTAGGTACATGAAAGACTTTGAGAGACTTAAGTGAAATGCACTTGGTGAAATTAGGATACAAAGCTAAGAATTTAAGAAGGGCAAATTGGAGTCAATGAGACGTTTCTTGAGGGCTTTTTTTTCCACGTTTTAAGTCTGGTTGCCTTGTGTGATAAGGGAATCCCACCGCATGTGGGAATTATGAGAAAGTCGAAGAATAAGGCCCCCACCTTAAATTTATCATTTATAAGTTTTTGTTTCATATTATATCCTACCTAATTTTGAATTATGATTATAATCTAATACTTACAAATGACATATTTTCATCATAAATAAATTAATTATTATCTTTTTAATCAATGATATAAATAAATATTTTTTTTTTACAAAAGATATCATAATATGAGAATAATTGAATTATTGAATTATAAATATTTAGATTTAAATATTAAATTTATTAGGTATCAATTTTTAAAAGTAATTATATATATATGTAGAGTTAAGCCTCGGATTTATATAAATTATTGATTTGATTAGTTGGCAAAAAGAGCTAGATATTGATTTAGGAGTCACCACCAATATTTTTTGTTTAAGTGCGATTGGTCACATAAGGAATCTATCTTTTCAATAAACACCTAAGTTTGATTAAGGATCCCTAAAGAATAGGGTTGGGTCTATTAATCAAAACAAGGTTCAGAAGTTTGATTACGAGTGAGAAAGGTTATAGTACCCTCATAACGCCCATCAAAAGATAGTACTGGTTTAATTTTGTGTTATCCAATAAGCTTTAAAAATTTTACTAAGTAATTAATTATTAGAAATTATTCTTAATTAACTACAATATTTTTGACAAAAAATTAAGAAAAATTCCTTCATCTCAAGAGTATACAAGAAAACTATTGTTTCACTTACAGAAACTCCATCGTTAGATTATTTACCATTAAAAATTTTTCAATAAAAGAAAGAAAAGAAAGAAATAAAATAAAATAAAATAAAATAAAATAAAGGAATAATGATTCAACTTTTGATATAAATCTTTTTCTTTTCATTAAAAAAAAAAACTCATTGCTTTTGTACAAGGAAAGTTAATACTTTCAACTTTTCCTTAAAGCATTTGGAGATTTTTATTTTAAGGAAAATTGATACTTTCAACTTTTTCTTAAAAATATCTTTTAAAAATTTTTATTTTTTAGAAATTTTATTTTTAAGAAAAATTGATATTTTCAACTTTTCCTCAAAAATATTTTTAGAAATTTTTATTTTTTAAAAATTTTATTTTTAAGAAAAATTGATACTTTCAACTTTTCTCAAAAATATTTTTTAAAAATTTTTATTTTTTAGAAATTTTATTTTTAAGAAAAATTGATACTTTCAACTTTTTCTAAAAAAAATATATTTTTTATTTTGTGTTCAAAGGAAATTGATACATTCAACTTTCCTTTAAAAATATTTTGTTTAAAAATTTTATTTTCAAGAAAATTGATACTTTCAATTTTTCTTCAAAAATATTTTTTTGAAAATTTTATTTTAGGAAAATCATTGAAAAAAAAGAATAAAAATAAAATAAAAAATAAAAAAATTAAGGAATACCAAATAACTCTAATAATAATAATAGATAAATAAATAAATAAAATAAACAAATAAAATAAAATAAAATAAAAACCTTGGAACGGTTCGGCTCGGCTTGAATATCGACTGGCACACAGGTTTGTGAATCGGGTTGTGATCGGGTCGGGTCACCCACTGACAAAATGCGCGGATCCTGGGTTTATTAATGCCCAAAATGACGTCATTTTATGATACTATAAAATGCTAATTTTAGCCTTTTTTCAGCAAAGTTCTCTTCTTCCCTATCTCTCTACTCTTCTTTTCTTTCCCTCTCTTTCTAAGTTTTCCAAGAACACCAGTGGAAGCTCGTCGGATTCTGAAAAATATGGTCGAAATTTGGGTTGTTCGCTGGAAATTCACCAAAAAGTTGATCGGTTTTCTGGAAATGTTATGCCGAAAATTGCATAATTGGTTAAAAAATTCAACCGACATTAAAAAAGTCACCAAAAAATTTAAATTTCGTTAGAAAATTCAACCGAAATATGAAATTTCCAAAAATTTCTTAGAAAAAAATTGCCAAAAAAAAATCTTAAAAATCTTAAGATCGCTTCTAAACCTTTTTTATGCCCTTTTTGCTTTTCTTTACTCTCTGTGTGTTTCTCTGTCCCTATGTTCTGTGTTCTAGTGTCTATTTATAGGGATTGATCAGAAGAATTTTTGATCAATCCTAATTTCATCTGGGATTGAGATTCAATCTTTGAATCTAATCCAAACTCTACCAGCCCCTAGATTTACGGCAAAAAAGTTTCTTCTAGAACAAAAATTATATATAAAAACAATAATAATTAAAACAAAATTTAGATTAGATAAACTAAGAAAAATAATAATAATAAATAAAAATAAAAATGATCCCTATTTGGACCAGGCCCAATTGATCCAGGCCTAGATCAAATTGGGCATCTACAGCTGCCCCTATTTACACATTTTTTGTAAAATAAAAATTGTGCAAAGACGTAGACACCCATTCAAGACTCAATTCGACATTTTTTTTTATTTTTTTTATGTTTTCCTTTTTTTTTTAGTCAAAGCTTCTCTAAGCAGAGGCTCAACGACTTTGAGAAACATAAATGCTCTTCTAAATAGAGGCCAACAACTTTGAAAAAATAAACAAGGCTCCTCTAAACTGAGGCTCAACAAATTTGAAAAAATAAATAAAGCTCATATAATCAACAACTTTTGAAAAATAAATAAGGCCCTTCTAAACATAGCTCAACAATTTTGAAAAAAAAATAAACAAAGCTCCTATAATCAGAGGCTCAACAACTTTTGAAAAATAAACGCTCCTCTAAATACAGGTTTAACAACTTTGAAAAAAATAAACAAAGCTTATCTAATCAAAGGCTCAACAACTTCAAAAAAAATAAACAAAGCTCCTATAATTAGAGGCTCAACAACTTTTGAAAAATAAACAAAGCTTTTTGACAATCATGTCTAGAGGAGTCAAAGATCGTGTTTGAAAAAATTTTAGGAGATTATGCCTAAGGGTCTTATAAATTGATCATGATATCGAGAGATATCCTTTTTCAAGGATTAGAATCTTATCTCACAAGCTTTTTCTCAAATTTGAAACTTTTACATCGAAAAGTCTTCACATCTGTCTTTTCCATGTGGGATCCTAGAATACCCCTGCTTTTTGAATTTATGCACTATACTTTTTTAAATATAGTATATGCCATGTAATGCATGAAAAATTTGATGCATACTATGCAAATGTCGGCTAATTAATTCCCATTCAGTTGCAGTACTCAAGTTTTTCAAGCTCTTTTCTTGGGCCTCGAACCCTTTATTCTTCAAAGACCAAGTCAGTGTAACTCTCAATCATCTCTTTCATTTAGATTTGATGCCAAGTCAGTCTCCATGCCAATGAATTTTTAGATTTGATGTTGTATTCTCCTTATCTAAGTTACCTTATCAAGTTTTCAACTTAGATAAATCCCCCTTCTTTTTCATTTTTTCCTTCTTTGTTTTTTTTTTTATTTTTTTTCAAACATAATACTTTTTCATAGCATCAGAATTTATAGGATGGGGCAAATCACTTTCATCCATCTCAGCTAGTATTAACGCTCTACCTAAGAAAGCCCGTTTCATCATATATGGCCATTCTCAATTCGGAGTCCATTTTCTTCTATTATCATGCTGATTTGAGATAATTCTTTTTAAGACTAACTTTTTCTCTAAAAAATAATGAGGTTGAACTGTTTTGTCATGAGCCCTCATCATTCTTCTTTAATATAGTTGACCATGGCACAACGCTGTTAATCTCTTTTCTTCTATGAAATTTAACTGTTCATAGCGTTCTCAAATCCACTCAGCTTCTTTTAGTTCAACTTCTTTTAGAACCCTCAAGGATGAGATCTCTACTTCTACTGACAATATAACTTTCATCTCATAAACTAAAAAAAATGGAGTTGCCCCAGTAGAGGTGCACATTGATGTTCGATATGTATGTAGTGCAAATGGTAACTTTTCATACCAATCTTTGTAGGTCTTGGTCATCTTCTCAAGAATTCTTTTTATATTTTTATTAACTGCTTCAACTGTCCTATTCATTTTTAGATGGTATGGCACCGAGTTATAATGCTTGATCTTGTATTGGGCATATATTGCTTGCATCATCTTGTTATTCAGATTCTTAGCATTATCCAAAATGATTATATTGAAAGTCTATATCTATAAATGATCTATCTTTTTTTGAACTTACAAACCATAGATCGTGTTACATTTGTATATGATATTGCCTCTACCCATTTTATGAAGTAATCTATCATCACGAAAATAAGCATATGCCTATTAGAAGCCTTTGGGGTAATAAGATCAATGACATCCATGTCCCCACATTGAAAATGGCCAAGATAGTGCCAAAACATGTAAAGCAGATGGCAAAGCATGGATTTATAGCATATATCTAGCATTTATAACATTTATGAGCATAATCAATGCAATCACTTTTAATTATCAACCAATAGTACCCTACTCTCATGATCTATCTTGCCATCATATGTCCATTGGCATGTGCCCCACATATTCCATCATGCATTTATTTAATAATTTTTTTATCTCAACAATACTTGATATAGCTCTTTTTGTACAAAACATTCCCATCTAGGAAGAAGCTCATAGCTAATCTTCAGATGACCCTTTTATCATTCTTCGTTACTTAGACTGGATATTACTGATTCTTAATATACTGTAATATATCATTAAATCAAGGTTTCCCATCCTCCTCTTCTTCTACATTGGAGTAATGAGCCGACATATCCTTAACATCTAACCTGAT